TTTTTTTGGCCTCGAGGATCGTCCCCGAAAGCCTGCTGAATCTTGCGAATGATTTACACTCGGGTATCGCCAAGGTTTTTGGCAAAATTTGATGTAATACCGCTGCTCGCGTTGTTCAGTCATTTTTCAGCTTAGTGGAATCCGACGAGAGCGCTCTACATGACCTCACTCATAGGCCGATTGCCAACGACTGACGCTTCCTGCAGGCGGGAAAAAATTCAGAGATGTGCATGACTGTCCCCTCCACAACTCCACCAAAGGAGGCCTCTCGCGAATCATTGGTTTACGCGGAAAAAAATAAGGTCCGATACTTTTTGAACAGACCTTGTATTTTCTTTGAAACAAACACTGCAAGTCTGTAGAAGCACGTAGTGATAATTAGAAATGTATTGTGTTAAACTTCCCTCTCTCTATTGTGGGTGGTGGACTTCGTCGAATGTAGGTCAGTTTACGTCAATGTACTCTCTACTTTAGCGTCTATTGGACGCTTTACTTATTACTCCAACAATTATTATAACAATCGACTATAATAAGCGACGTTATAAGCGATTATTTACATATTTGTTTACGAAAGTATTGATTTTTTCGAGAGAATTTACGGCTGGATGCTTCTGACAAGAAGATTATTGGGTTAAATAAAGTCAAACAGTATAAAAATCAACAAAATTACAGCTAAAAAAAAGAAAAATATAGCGATTCGTCGATGTTTCTTTACATTCTGACTCCAACGATGTCATATCGAGGGGGATGTAGCTTTTCGCGTAATAAATTATTTTAATATAATATACATAAATAATTCAGCAATTTGTATAATATTTTTGTAAAATTAGATTGGAAAGTTCCAAAGTTTTTACTTATGCCATCATTTATGAATTCTTGTTTCCATTACTTAACCCTTCCCTTCTTTTTCAGTTCCCAAAAGAAAATGTCTGAAGTTAACACTTCACATGAACTCTCCTTATTTAAATTTGCTCTGGCTCCATGAAGTTATAACACCCCACTGTCAATTTTTCTGTTTTGACGATTCCAATAGCGTAATCAACTCAATTGTATCATTTATAATGATTGATAGAATTCCAGGTTAGTATTTATATCTCACTGTTGTCAATCAACACGGTTAGGTATATTAAACAATTAAATTGATTAATTAAATACTTCACTGTTTACAGATGCTGTTTTATGTAATACACGTAATTAATAAATAAAAATGGTTTATATTAGCTTCAATTTTTAATCATTATTTAACTTTAAAAAATCACGGGTCTACAGTTAATCACTTTTTCTTAAAATAACGAAGCTGGTTAGTTTAAAGCTCCGTAGAACCACTATTTATATAACTATATTGTTTTAAAAAATATGTTTTCCTATGTCCTATTTCATATTTAAGCATTTTAGTTGTGTATCTCGTCGTTAAAGCAACACTGGAATCTTATAGAAAAGTATTTTTCACTCACCTCTAAAGGTTCCTTTTTAATTGTCTTATAACACTTCACATCTGTATTAAATTCTTTCTTGAAATTCTTTAAATCAACTTCAAATTTTCGATCGTTTCGTTCAATTGTAAAGTCTGAATGTTCTGTTTTTAAGTCTATTTTTATCTTCATTTTATCGGTATAATCAACAGTCTTGTAATTAATTAATGTTCATTCGAAATTTGAAGCAAGTAACAAAGAAAGACGAGTAAACTCACTGCTCTTGTTCCCGTTGTAGCAGTAACAAGGGGTGCACTGTCAAGGTTAACGGAAGACACTCCAGTGGTGACACGTCACCAGCTCACGTGATAATCTGCCGTATAAAATCACGTGTTATGTAGTTAATAGTATGGTTCTTAAAACGTATTTATGAATGTTTATAGTAAGAAACTAAAAATGAAGTAAGCTTATTTAATTATATTCTTAACATCTAAAAACTTTTTGATTTATTAATACATTATACTACGTAGCCTGATAGTTCAATGTTAACTGTCGTAGAATAATAAATTAAAAAGCAGGGAAATTTCTGAAATAAATGAATGAAATCACTAAAAAATATATATAAATTTGATCATGGTTTGTGCGAAAAAACCCTAAAATAATTTATAGAGCTATGTGGCAAAAAAAAGAGAGTTACGACTAATTGAATATATTATAGTATCAAAATAATCAAGATAGGATCATCGATAAAATGTAAAAAATTTAGTCAATAGCAGAAATTTAGGTTTTGAGCATTAATTTTTCAACGGACATTGCGAATTGTCCTTCTATTGGTCCATATACACATTGGTTGAGAACGAAATGATAACAAAAATCCTGCCTCGAGACCGTTTCCTGAAGATAATGTAATATTATTTACATTTATCGGAGTGATAAAAGTTACTAACCAAACCTATCAGAAACAGCCAGCCTCGTTTCAAGCATATTACAATCTGTTAATGATTTGTATCTATTTCTCTGTTTCCAATGTAGACGTTGTATTGCCGTTGTTTAATTGTACTTCCTTTATCTCAGACAGTTACAGAAATAACTTTCGTTTTATAAGTTATACGGAAAAATGTGGTACTTGTAGACATTCTTGCGGAAAATTCAATGCAAAATTAATATTATGCGAGAATCCAGAGTTTACAATTTACTTTTATAAGAAAATCACACTGTTTTATTACCGTGCATTCTTCTCCAAATCTGGAAACCATTAAAGGCAATTTTCCTTCACACGCGTTTTAACAGAAGAAGGAAAAAGATTGTAAATGACTTCAAGCTTTACCTGCGGTCACCGTTCAATACCCTATGTCCTGCTCCCACTTGCTTCTTTTCGCTTTTCTTGATTTACTCACCACTCACAGAGGGGCGGTAGATCCAACTTTGGTAACCATTGCGCTAAACACTCCAACTTCCGTCACGCAAAGATTTTGTTTTCAAAATTCTAATTGAAATAGTTCTTCGCTTAAATTAAAAAGGTCACCTTTACACAGGTCAGTTCCCCGCAGTCTCCCTCGTTGCCTGTGTAGAAGAGAAACAGTATAGCCTAGTCTCCAAAATTCTGAAACCTTTAAGAAGTATATTATACTTAAGTTATTAATTAAACTCTCTCTTTCTCTCTCCATTCGATAGGAAAATTCGATATTAGGATAAACCAGAGCCCTTCTTCCAGTTTTCGTCCCTCTACATTTTTAATTTCGAGAGCTATGATCGACACATTTTTCGCTTCGTGACTAATCGACCTTCGTATCTTAGTTCTTGGTCTTCCCAAATGTTGCCCCGGACTCCCGTATATATTGGATCCTTTTTAAAGTTATAATTTTTTTGAATGATTTTCTAGCTTTCATTTATGTTTTAATGTTTTTATAGTTTTCATTACCTTGTCAAACATTACATCATGATTTCGGTTTGTTCTGTTACCGTTAAATTAGTTCCCAATGTTTATAGAGATATGCAAGTATAATCTCGAATGTGCTTTTGTCGGCTATAGTATAGTTCTGTATAGGGTCTCTCAAACGGGATACCAGTCGTTTTTTAACCCGGGAAATCCAGCAAATTTCTTAAAAATACACTTTTTTTTTTTAATTTTATGTTAAGGTTGAGGAAATTTTGCAAATAGAAAGTATAGTTAACTCATAATCTGTCAGAATACATTTGTATTTATTAATTTTAAACCTACTTATTAGATTGTTTAAATTTTTGCTCGTTGTGGCATGTTACAAATGGTCAATAATCAATACGTAGCTTTTTTGTGGCAGGACTGTCAAAATTCTTTACCTGTAATATCTGGAATAATTGTGCCGATGCTGTCTTAATATTTAACCATGCCCAGTAGCTTCAATAATTGCGTAACGCCAGGTTGTGCAAACTGGGCATGGATACCAACGAGTACGAAGTTTGCAAGTATGAAGTTTTTCTTCATAACCTGATTATTAAAGACAAACGAACTGCCAAATTATTGTGCTATGGTGTTTCTATTAAAGCTGTCGAGGTAGACAAATCAAGAATACTATAGAACAAAAGAAATACTACAATCTCGAAAACGAACTAGAAATCTCTTAGGATACAGGTGAAAAACACATAATATTTGTCTTCTTTTAAACGCATTAAAAACGATTCCACTCACATCAATTTGATCGGAAAGAGCATTCTAGGTAGCTAGACTTTTCATTATTAATTAAGAATTATATTGAGTGATTGGAGTATTGACCATCGTTGCTTTCTAAAATCTTATAAAAATTTACAATAGTTTGTATTATATTTTATTTAAAAAACGAAAATTTCCTTCTTAGTTACAAGTTGGATCTAAGTTCATTTTTTAAAATTTGTTTTGTTAATGTTGTATGAAGTTTCCAGCAAACTTTAATATATTTTTTTTCTATTTGTAAAAATTTGTACGTAATTCAAAGGTAATTTTTAATATATATCTTACACAGCATTATTAATATGATTTTGGAGGTTGGAGTTAAATTATTTCATAAACGAAAAATAATTATATCGTTTGATTTCATGATATTTTGTATATCTTAAAAATAATTAATTTTGTCCCGGGATCAGTTCACTTTATCCCGGAATCCTGAGACAAGCAAAACACCGGGAAATGAGAATCCTAGTTCTGTAGCACGTGTCAAATGGAGTTCTTCTATCTTCATACAAGGACTATCCCAGATTAGAACAATTACACCTAATCCCAAATGTGCATCGACACTTTCATACGTCACAAGCTAAAGAAAATTAGTGCCTATATCTTCTACATAGTATATAGCAATGCTCATACCGAACGAGTTTTCTCAATAATGACTTTAATTTGGAGAAAAGAGAGAAATCGTTTGAAAGTAGACACTGTCAAAGCAGAACTCCAAATATGTAATAACTTCACAGAAGAATGCCGAGTTATGTATAAAAGACTTCTTGCCAACAACAAACTACTGAAAATGTCATGAAAATAAGAAATATAAAAAGAAGGCAGTCATGTCCTCAGGTTTTTTTTTTGTTTTTTACAAGACTATGTCTTGTTTATAAAAGCGTACTGCCCGATATTCTTACCAGTATAGAGGTATGAAGGAGTACATGTCGAGAGTTGATATTTGGCACAGAGTATTAGGTGCCCAAATCATTTGTACATAAAAAAATCCAGACTCGTAGGTGGTCAGGGGACCGAGAATCGAGTCAAAATAAAATACAAAATAGCGACCCTCTTCTACAAACAAGCAAAACAGACACCTCACCCCACCGAAGTCAGGTAGGGGAGAGTACCAACCACTGTCATTCTAAGAAGTGAACTCTGACCTTAAAAGAAACTACGTGTTCAGTCCTATGTTATATAAAATTTGTAATCTAATTTTGTAAATTTGGGAGTGATTCAAATATGACGTTAAAACGGTTTTATGTCGTTACAAGTGGTTTTTTTTTTTAAATATTATCTAGTTTAGTAAATTCTTAGGACCGATAAATATTTGACGGTTAAACTGTATATTGTTTGTGCAAAATAAAAAAATAATTTCGGACGATACAATAGCCACGATTATTTTTTCAAAAACGAAAACTTTTTGTTACGCATCGACAAAAATTCAACTCAGGCCGACACGCGACGAAAATTTTGAAATTGGATACATTAAATTAATTAATTTCATCAGAGGTGCGTCGTGGTCGTGGCCGGCGAAGTTTGAACGATCGCGCCCAAAATCAGCGATATCAAAGAAAAAAGGAGAATGAGAACGAGACCTGCCTCGAGCATGAAAGTGATTCTGTCTCCGAGACATAATCTTGTCCCAAATACGGTTTTGCCGTTTTGTCTTTAATAAAATACAGTGAGTGATCGGTTAAAAGGAACAAAATCGGTTAACGAACACTTTCTTCAAAAATGTTTATCTTCGAATAACGAACACCTCACAGAAGAAACACAAGAAGCAACGTAAAATAAAAAATGCCGATTGGTCTTCCCTTGTCTTCAAACAACAATTTGAAAATTTTCGGGCGCAAGAGACATCGACCCCGACGCTCAACCCGGTATATACTGATCGTATAGTATTCCTCCGAGCTTTGAAACTCTCCCTTGTAATTGCGGTCTTTTATTTTTCTGACAGAAACAATTCTTTTATAGTATTCACGAGACTGTAGGGCGGGCACTCGTTATGTTTTGCATCGGTTTTTATTTTTGAAAGGTGAGAGTATACTAGCAAAGTAGAGTATGGCCAGATGATGTCTGATGTTGCTGGGCAGTATGGCTTGAACAGGTCTACAGTAGGCCGCAGTTCAATCTTATCTAAGAAAAATACAGTATAATGAAGAAGACTCAAGCAGCTAAAGAAGTAAAAAAACTCACATTTGAGAAATAAAGAACGCTGAAGAGATAATAATGAAACCTAAAACGGATCTGACGACAGAAGAACGCCAAGAAACGCGGCGAGATATGTTTTCTTCTGAAAAAGAGGATTAACGCCGATATATGCTATTAAAGATCTTTTGGAGAAGTGGGAGGATGTCAGAACAACGGTTTTAGAATGGCATCCAAAGCAGGTCCAGGTTAACAAACTTGGGGATCTCTACAGTTACAATGCTATTAATTATTTTTGAAAAATCCTAAAGAGAAAAAAGCAATGGACATTAGACAGATTCTTTAACCCTCACAAATGAAAAAAACATAACTTAATAATAAAAATGCAAGACTGTGTATAAATGTATTTTTATTATTACATATAAATTAACGTAGTAAGAAAGTATATATTTTTTAAATTTTTTCAAGTCTTCAGAACGAATTAATCAAATTCCCATGAAAACCTACGGTAAATCGATAATCGGTTAACGAACAATTCAGATAATGAACAGTCTTGGAATGGATTATATTCGTTAAATTAATTAACCGATCACCCACTGAACTGTATTTTTGTTTTCTTTCTCATTATTTCTTACATTCTTTACATTTGTTACGTCATGTACGGTTTTCGTCGTTTAAATAATAATATCGCTGATTATTGAACATTTCATACATTTATTTTTCCGTATTTTATTTATACATCTGTGTATAAAGAATGAAAAGCACGGGAGTCAACACGGTTCGCGCGGGTTACCTCCAACAGTGTACTCTCTTTTAGGCATTTGGTGATGGCCACTCTACATAAAATTCATCTTTGTTTTATCAAAATGGAATTAAAAACACTCGCTATTTTCTTTGAGGGTAAGCGTAAGAGAAAAATTGGTGAGATAAATTCTACATCTAAAAGAATAACAACCGACATCACCAAGAGCAGTGAACTCGACTTACGCAACATAGAGTAAGTATGGCATTGTGAATGGCTGAGGATTACAACGTCAAGCTCAACTTGAAGGTCATCTCAATTCTTCAATCTTTATTTTCTGATAAAACATATTCCGACATGCTTGGCGGGAGAATTTTCAGTATATTATAAATATATAAATGAAGGCACAGACTAAAGATACACAGACTGAAAACTCTCTACGACCTTTATGTTATCCATTTTAAAGTCACTGATAAATTTAAACTAAGCAAAACGCACAACTGTGCCAAAATCGCTTAAAGGACACTATTATCGGATTCTTATGCGGTCGTGTCTACCTGACGTCACGAATGTTTGCCTTAAATTTATTCTTTTAGATTGATATTATTCCTAATTTCAAATATTTGTAACTGGAATATAAAAGATAAACAAATAGCGATTGGGCATATAAACAGACTTTTCATGAATTCGGAATTCGACTGTTGTAAATTTCTTTTTACAAACGTCACAATATGAATCTGAATATAAAAAATAGTCATATGCTTCTCTATAACCTCTTTACACGTAAAAGTCCTTTCACATATATTACGTTGATAAGGTAATTGAGGTGTATTTCTAAACAAGTAAATTTTAAATGCAATTTCAGTTTACTTTCTGTTTTAAATTTCCTTTTATAATCGCCTCTAAATTACGAATGATTCTGATAAACGAGTTGATGGCTTAATAAAAATCTTTTAATATAAAAACCTTTGTTACACATTTCACAACCGTAAAGAAAGAGTGTCTTCATCGTCTATTTCTATTACACATATTACACTTTCCGATGAGAATTTTCGAACGTTTTGTGTATTTAATTTTAATAGCTTGTTACAAATATTGTATACAAACTTCCTTTCTTTTACGTTTAATATTACAATGTCTGGTTTAAAACAGTTGTATTGTTATAACATTTTCTACATGTCACAAACATACATTATTGTATCGATATGAATAATTTTACGCTGTCCCAAGAAACCTATTGTCTTAAAATATTTGTTACACATATGACAAAAATATTAGTATTCATTGCTGTGTATAAAAATATGCCGTTTTAAACTACAACTGCATTTAAAACTTTAATAACGTACTTAAGAAGTATGGTCAAATTGATTATTAACTATTTCGTGATGCCAAATACTGTTTTGTTTTAAAATATTTGTTACATATATCATAAAAATGGTTGAATTTCTCATTATAAACGATTTTATGAGCTATCAAACATTTTTTTTTGTTTTAAACCTTTTGCTACATACCCGAAAAGAATACTTACGTTCTTCACTGTGACTTGTTTGATGATTTTTAAGTCGGTCTTTCCGTTTAAAACCTTTATTACAAATATCGCATTTGAAAGGACGTTCTTCACTATGATTATATCCATGGTTTTTTAGCTGCTCTTTCCGTTGGAAACCCTTATTACAAATATCGCATTTGAAAGGACGTTCTTCACTATGATTATATCCATGGCTTTTTAGCTGCTCTTTCCGTTGGAAACCCTTATTACAAATATCGCATTTGAAAGGACGTTCTTCACTATGAGTTAATTGATGCCTTTTTAGTTGCTCTTTCCGTATGAAACCCTTATTACAACTATCGCATTTGAAAGGACGTTCTTCACTATGATTATATCCATGGCTTTTTAGCTGCTCTTTCCGTTGGAAACCCTTATTACAAATATCGCATTTGAAAGGACGTTCTTCACTATGAGTTACTTGATGCCTTTTTAGTTGAACTTTTAGTTTAAAACCCTTATTACAACTATTGCATTTAAAAGGACGTTCTTCACTATGATTAAATTGATGGAGTTTCAGTTGCCCTTTCCATTTGTAACCCTTATTACAAATATCGCATTTGAAAGGACGTTCTTCACTATGAGTTTCTTTATGTCTTTTTAGTCGCGCATTGCTTTTAAGCCCCTTATTACAAATTTCGCATTTGAAAGGACATTCTTCACTATGAGTTACTTTATGCAATTTTAGTGCCAGTTTCCGTTTAAAATCCTTATCACAAATATCGCATTTAAAAGGACGTTCTTCATTGTGAGTTTCTTTATGCAATTTTAGTTCCTCTTTTCGTCTGAAACCCTTATTACAAATATCGCATTTGAAAGGACGTTCTTCACTATGATTTTTTTCATGCCTTCTTAATAGTCTTCTCAACTTAAAACCCTTATTACAAATATCGCATTTGAAAGGACGATCTTCACTATGTCGTGCTCCATGGCGTAACAACATGCAATTCGACTTAAATTCTTTTCCACATATTTTGCAGGCATGAGTTCTGTGTATTTTCTTGTGTCTTTCCAAACCCTTCTTACCAAATCGAATGAGCTTACCACAAATGTCGCAATACACGTTTTTGGTCTTGATATTAGATTTTTTATCATTTCTTAGAGATGACTTCACTCGAATTCCAGGTGGCTGCAAACGTACATTCCTATGAGAGTTTTTATTTTGATTTCCAGTTTTGTGTTTTTTCATGTGTCTTCGCAAAAGAAATTGCCACAAAAACTTCTTATTGCAGGTTGTGCAGCAAAATGGTTTTTTTCCAATATGACAGAACAGATGTGTTTGCAATATTCTCTTATTTGTAAAAGTCTGTTGACATAAATCACACGTAAATTCTTTTCTAGAATAAGATGCAAACATAACCTTGAAGTATTTCCTTTTAATCTTGTCGTGAATTTTATTGCATTTCCTACTGGAAGAAACGTATTTGCTTATTTTAATATTATATTTAAATTGTTTTTCTATTTCTGAATTCTGCTGGATATCGTATTCCTTAATTTCCTCTTCCTCCTCAACTGAAAGTTTAAAAAATAACATAATAAATTACCTGTTATATTTCAACAAACATAACATAGCTTCAATGTTAAATTATTAGTGTTGTAATTATATAATTGGTAAAGTAAACCTGTTTTTCATTTAAAAGCAAGGCATCATTTGTTGCTTGCACTAAAAGTAAAACATTTTACACTTTACAATCACGAACTGATTGAATCAGCTTTAGTTCTTTAGCGGACTTTTAAATAACTGTAAAAAATTAAACTGTTTCACTTTAACTGTTTATATTTATTAAACTTATGTAGTTTCTTCCAGTGGTTGGAACAGAAACGTGGAAGAAATCGTGTTCTTTTAAAGAGAAGAAATCATTAGTGTAAAAAAAGTACCACAGCAAAAGTTTATGGATTTTAAGTAGAAAGGCAAGATCGGTTTATTCTTCAGATTTTTTGAATAATTTTAGCGTATGTCCAGTAGATCTGTACAACGTTTGTCAAGAATATTAACAACGTTTTAGAAAACACGTTAGATATATTCACTTATTTATGTTATTAAATTAGTTATATAGCCCACGTTTACTTCGATCCAATACATTTTCTTCATTATTTTACAGATCCATGAACAAAACAGATAACTTGAATCATTATATCACAACTCATCTCGTGAATTGTTATTTAGTAATTCTGATCATTCAAAACATTTTTATTAACTACAAAAGTTATATTTATACGTTGTAGGAGGTTACGTATAATTCTGAAATATCTAATACCAGTTAAATGTTTGATAGTTGAATCTTGAAATCAGTTCTTCAACTACCCTGTGAATAGTACTAATATAAAAAGTTTGAATTAAGTAAACATGTTACTTACTTTGGATGTTCATTTCATCCTCGTTAAATTTTTCGTTTGGAGTGAAGTATTCACTGTTGACAGGCTAAACAATACACAAATAATACATGACAAACACTAATAATCACTTATGATATAAACCAGTAACGAGCTGTTCAACTTTTCCGGCAACGTTTTAAAACTTTGGTGGTGTTGTCTGTAATAAAACGTTTTTTAAATAAAATACGATCTTTTTAACTATTTTAGAAAGGCAAAGAATTGAATTTTGTACGTAGGGATGAGTTTTATATAAAAAAGTTAAATACGAATAATGAGTAAAATCATGATTAAGTCCGATTCTACTAAAGATACACAAGAATCCCCATTATCTTCCCACCCTCTTGATTTTTAACCAGAAAAATTTAATAGCTTCAATTTCCCTAATAATAAAACTTTCCAGCAAAATTTCAGAAATATTCGACAAGAACAGAAGTTATTAAGTTTCAAACAGGGTGAACAAAATCGTGGCTCCCACACACTAACATTCATACATACAGATAAAACCCAAGATGTTTTTTTGACGTTTGACGGAATTCTAAATTTAGAAATATAAAAATCATGGAAAGTCATTTTTCGACCGATCGTCACTACTTTACTTTTGTTATATATGAAAACCGAAAAAGTAATACGAAAATCATTACACAATTACAAATTAGAAATCCGTATTTTGTGATTTCATATATAAGCAACATATTAGAAAACTGCATTAAAATTAATTGTTTTAAAAATTTTCTAGAAATTATTTAGTCTTTTGGGGAAATTTACAAAATAAACAGCAAGACTATTCACTTTCCATCTTGTCCATTGAAAAAAGATATTAGAGAACACCAACCGTATGCCGAAAATCTATCGGGCTAGTTTAAGGCTAATTACTAAATGAATTACGTAACCAATTTGGCTCTAGATGTAAGCGTTAGGCGCCATCTCTTATTAACATTAATAATTATAAATAAATTAATTAATTTAAATAATTTAGAACCGCTGGGAGAAAAAATCGGCCCGGTAAGCAGGAGTTGTGGGTTCGAGTCCCGCTCCGGGCCGATTTTTTCTCCCAGCGGTTCTAAATTATTTAAATTAATTAATTTATTTATAATTATTAATATTAATAAGAGATGGCGCCTAACGCTTACCTCTAGTGCCAAATTAATTACGTAATTTATTTAGTAATTAGCCTTAAAACTAGCCCGATGGATTTACGGCATATGTTTGGTGATTAGCTATATTACATCGGGTTTAGCGATGTTTATATATATTACGCCTTGCCGGGGCTTGCGATGGCCGGTTGAGTGCCTTATAGGAGTAGGACGTGGGCACTGAATGTGTCCCCAGCCGGCATTGTAATAACCGTCGATGGTTACATAGTTATACGCTGGAAGAGGAGATCGGATCGGAGGTCCGGATAGCGTAACTGGCAACGCATCTGCACGGTAAGCAGGAGTTGTGGGTTCGAGTCCCGCTCTGGGCCGATTTTTTCTCCCAGCGGTTCTAAATTATTTAAATTAATTAATTTATTTATAATTATTAATGTTAAAAAGAGATGGCGCCTAACGCTTACATTTAGAGCCAAATTGGTTACGTAATTCATTTAGTAATTAGCCTTAAACTAGCACGATAGATTTTCGGCATACGGTTGGTGTTTAGTTATGTTATATATCAAGTTTAGCAATGTTTGTATATATTAGAGAAGTTGCGGTCGTCGTATTCAGCCCAAAACGTAAACGGCGAATGGTCGAGCGCTGCTATCTGACAATTCTAGACGGTCGATAATGGTGTTAGCTACGTCTTGCAGGGCGAGTAAAAGATGTGTTTAAACTTCATTTTTTGTATTTGGGGTTAAAATTATGACCTATTTTATTAAAATAATGATCATTTGAGCAGTTATAAATAATATTGTAAAGAAGCAGACAATTTTAATCCAAAAATTATTTAATTATTCAATTTTTTATCAAGTGGTTCGAAGTGCCTATAGAATTTACATATATTTGCCTTCATAATAGCTTATCTTAAGGTAGGTTTGTTCTTCCATGGCATCTTCTATTATCAACAGCGTAACACGTTTGTAAATTTTCTAAAAATTAATTTTTCGAATTTACATAAGCAACTACTTTCCTGGACAAAGGTATGAGGTATCGTACGGTAGGAGACACCACGCTAATTAAAAATAATTATTTAGTGTTATTAAACATCTTATAAATGATTTAAAATACTTCATTTTGTGTATTTACCTTCGCTGGTAACTCTCAACGTTAATTAAATGTATCCGCCATTTCTTTAAACAAATTTCCCGTGAGTCAATGCCTGACGTTCACTGAATCACGTGATGTTGTGAACGTGCGCCGCAACGATTTTTTTCTTGGAGTTAAAACGTAAACCGTGTACTTCTGCTTGCCATGTACTGTACAAGTAACGTTTGAACTCGCGCCGCAACCTCTCTACTACTAATGAAGTAGGCTCACTGTGCTAGAGATCTACGTTACTTTTAAAGTAATTTAACTCAGTAAAAGCCAGGAGAGTAGTTCTGTAAAAAATGATTTTTACTCCTATTCAATTTCACAATTCGTTGTTAATTTGTAAAACTGTTTTGCTCATTTTATTATATTACAGAGGTTGGAGCCGAAGTATTAACTTTAAACTTGTACGTCAAGTAGAAGAACACGTTTGACGTTTCAACTTCAAGTAAAACAAGTTGCGCCAACGTTGACAAAGCGCACTGATTCATGCGATATTGTCGAAAAACGGCAGAAACATTTAAGGTCACCAACGAACGAAATTAACAAATTAGATTATTTTAAAATATTAAACAAATATTTAATAATTATTTTTTACTTTAATTAGCGTCGCGTCTTCTACCGTACTATATAACAGTAGAAAAATTGCAATGTGTTTTGCTGTTTTCACGCCATCATTTTCTTGACAGAAATATATAAAAATTGTACAGGCACTTTACATTACTTGCAAAAATAGTTAATAATTAAAACATTTCTGCATTAAAATCGTCTGTTTCTTTACAATGTTATTCATAAATGCTTAAACAATCATTATTTTAATAACATACGTCGTAAATTTAACCCAAAACAGAGAAAAAGGAACGTTTAAGCCCAACTTCTACTCGTCACGTTTGACGTTCCAAACGACATTTTCAAACTTGTAAAATTTCAAGATGGCGACTCTCGACGTTCACGTTTTAACGATGAAAACTTCGGTCGCAACCTCTCTATTATTTATTTGTAATCAACTGCTACTTAAACTAGATAAAATTAGAAATTGCAGTGTTTATTAATTTGTTGTAATGTCTGTTTATGTAATTGCAGTATTTCACAGTATTAGAAAAATAAATAAATCTGGTATTTTGTGCTATCATCGTTGCAATTGGCCTCAAAGTAAATTTTGCCTAGGGTTTCGTAAATCTTAGGTACGCCTGTATGTCGGGCAACCTTTCTCAACATGTGGCCGCATCCATTGTGGACCTGACCAATAACTCTGAAAAAAAACTCATTGTTTATTCTCTTATTTATCGTGCACTAAAATGCACGATAAATTATAGAATAAACAACAAACTACAAACTGAGAAAGTTTGAAACAAACAATAAACAATAAACTACAAATTGAGAAAGTTTGAAACAGTATAATTTAGCCTATATATATGAACTTATGTTTAAATTCGCTTCTTACTTTTAGGAATGTTTTGTATGCATATATTCATACAAAACATTTCTAACAATATATACATGATGAAGTATTGAAATGTGATCAATTTTCGCAAATCTTCAGATTTTGAGATCCTTTACATCCAAAAAATATGGCAAAAAATCCGTGAATATGTGTGCGTGGACATGTATTTTGTTGTCTATTTAGCCTAATGTTTCAGAATGAATTAAACATTAAGAGACTAAATTTAGTAGTGTATATAAGGTGCATTAATGCTATTAACTTTTGGTAATAAAACATTGAGGGGTGAAGAGATAGATGATGGTCTCGTCTAAAATTTCTAGTGGGATCAGACTTCATGATATTTCTATTTGTTGTTAGCATCTACAATCGTTTGTGAAATGCATTTCTACCATTAAAATTAAGCATTTCTTCATTTTATAATAGTTAAAATTATAGAAAGTTTATATAACACATGGTGCCACAAACAATTTTATTTATTTATTATAATTAATAATATAAATATTATTTTTTNTATTTTCTTAATTAATTATTTTCATTTTAAATCCTCCCGAGCTATTTACAATAAATTATTTTGTTGTTACAAGTCATTTTATTTAAGAAGTCCTAATTTTATGTGTATGAAATATGTAATTGTATATTTTGGTTATTAACACAGATCTTATGACTTTACACTTGTTAGAGTACATGTTACATTTATTTTCCCGGTTGTTATGTGTGACAGAATAAATTTATGGCGATCGAAAAAAAATAACCCCTCCCAAAATTTTTACAGTGTTTGGACTCGGGGGGGTCTTGAAACATCGAGAAAATAAAAAAAAATTGGGGGTTTCTCTATGTACGGATATTAGTGTGTGTGAGTTGGGGGTACGATTTTCTTTTTTCCTTTTTGAAACTTAATTAATAACTCCTGTGCTTTCTGTCGAAAATTTCTGAAATTTTGCAGGGAGGTTTGTGTACTAGATGAGTTGAAGCTTTGATAATTATTTAAGGGTAAAGAAGTGAAAATATAGAAGGGGATCACTTTTCATATATCGAGTGGGCTTAATGAAAGTTTTACTCGTTATTAGCATTTGAAATTTTTTAATAAAACTGATTTCTACCCTCAAAATTAAGTTCCATTTTGCAATAATTAATAAAGTAAAATCTCATAACAGATGGCGCCACACAAAATTATAAAGCTTTATCGGAAAACTTACGCAACTCGTTGCTAGAATTTTTTATATTAGATAAGTAATAATTTAATAAAATACTTTTACACTGAGTATAATCTATTAATATGACATTTTCTTCAGTTTAAAAGTATTTTATTTATTAATAAGTTCACACATGTCTACAAGAATTATATTTAAGGTTAAGTTAAAAACTTAATAAATACAAGTGAATATATGTAAATTAATAGTGTAATTAATAATATCAAAGTTACTTTTAAATAAAATTTCTTAACAGCCAGAAAACTTACGCAACTCGTTGCTAGATTTTTTTTTCTCATATACTACATATTTTTTATTTAATACAGAATGCACCTAAATTCAAAGCATAATATTCATTACTGATATTGATCCACGTTTTCAACCATTTAGAAAGCTAAGTTAATATTAAAGTTTCACTGTAAAGTATTTCGAAATTTGTATTACTTACCAAAACGCGTTCATCATCATCTGGAAGAACATCTTTATAATCTTCAGTCTTTACTTCAATCTTCAATTTTTTCAAATCAACTTTACATTCTGATTTTATACCGTGTTTTACATCCCAATTCTCTTTTACTTCTTTCTTAATTTCTGTAGTGAAATTTACAAATTTTTGTAAAAAAATGTTCTAAGAAAAACGTGAAATATAAAATAAAACAGCATATTTTCATTACTTAGCATCACAATATTAAATTACATGTTTCACTACACCATTTATTTCTGATTACAAGCCGAAAACTAGCCTTCAGTCACGACGAATTGGTGTAATGTGTGATACAAATTATAATAAGTATGATTAGAAAGTTCTTTTCGTTATTAAATTGACCGGCGACGAGTGCATAACCTTTCGTGAAACATTCAAAATTACGTGTTGCTCCATCTCTTATGATATTTTGTTTAAAATATTTCTATATTTTTTCACTATAATATTTTTCGACAACAAGCACAATAATTCTTAAACTTTAAAAAGGTTGAAGAAAATCATCGTCGCCCTCCACACACGCTGGCATTTATGCATACAAAATATCCTCGAATTTTTTTAACTTCTCGACGTTTTAAGCTGTCTTAACTTTTTAAACTTAAGACAGCTTAAAACGTCGAGAAGTTAAATGTAAAAATGTTCGTGAGGATTATTTTCTGACTGATTTCCCTTCTGTTATGTATAACAGCCGAGAAAGAAAAACTTAGTTAAAGAGTTAAATAATCACGAATTTAAAAATTTTCAATTAGAAATTTATAATTATTACACTTTACAATTTATTCTCGTAGTTGTTGTAACATATCACAAAGAAGTTATGTTAATTAAACACAAACAAGAAATTCTCTGTACAGCTCTAAAATGGATGACGTAAGGAACGGAAAGAACAGTGAGATAGACGGCGAAATGATTTTTGTAAATAGAAGAAACAGAAGTAAAAGGGAAAATAGGATGAAAAAGACGATGAAAAATGTCTTAGCAATAGGTATCGTACTTGGAACGTTAGAAGTTTATTTAGGATTGGCCAATTTCAAGGTCTTCACAGAGAACTAGAAAGATATAATATAGCAATTGCTGCTATTCAAGAAATACGTTGGAAAGACAGTGATATATTTGAGGGAGATAAATACTTAATAATTCATAGAAGCTGTGTAAATGGCCAATTGAGAACTGGATTTATGGTTAAAAAGGAGCTGCAATATTTTATTCAAATTATCAATGCATTAATGAAAGGATAATCATCATGCGTGTAAAGGAAAGATTTTTTCATGATGGAAGACAAGAGGGAAGACGTAAAGGATGAATTTTATATCAATTAGAGGAAGTCCTAGGGATAGTACGAAAACATGATGTTAAACTAATACTGGGAATTGGAATGCTAAGGTAGGAAGAGAAGAAATGTATCAAGGAGTCATCGGGAGAAATAGCATTCATGAAAATAGTAACAACAATGGTAAACGAGTAGTGGACCTAGCTTCAGGACATAATATGGTGGTTGCAACAAGTGTTTCCTCATAAAAGAATATATTTAGGTACATGGATTTCACCGGATAGTAATACTGTATACCAAATAGACTATATACTTATCGATAAAAGGCATTCTACTGATATTAAAGATGCAAGATCTTACAGAGGGGCTGGTTGTAGTACAGATAACTACTTGGTGAGGGCAAACTATAGAAAAAATATCAATCAAGCCAAGAAGTGGAAGGGTAAAAAGTGCTATAAGATATGAAGTCAAATCTGTAAAACAGAAAGAAATTAAAATTAAATATCAACAGGTTTTTGAAAAAAAAAAAAACTTGATGAAGGCAAAGTAAAGGAGACAGAGACCATGAAACATTGAAAAACGGTGGGAAGATATAAGATCAAGTGTCATCGCAACTGCAGCAGAAGTACTTGGAAATAGTAGAAAAAAAAGGGAGAAATAGTTGGTTTGATATGGATTGTAGAGATGCATTAGAAGAATGAAGAAATGAGAGGTTAAAGATGACTCAAAATGAGTCTGGAAATAATACTGAAGACTTCAAAAAAGAGAGAAAGCTGGCATCTAGAATGTGTAGGAAGAAAAAGAGAGAATGGCTAGATGCAAAGCTAAAAGAAATGGAAGAACTAATGAAATAAGAAAATTCTATATGGAGGTTAGAGAAGAGAAGAAAGGGTTTAAACCAAAAATTGGTTTCTGTAAAGGAAAAGAAGGAGAATTAATTGGTGAGAAAAGTGAAATTCTAGATAGTTGGGCTGAATATTTTGAAGTACTATTAAACACTGGAGTAGAATCTACAGAGGGTCAAACGGAAACAAAAATAGACGAAGAAGCACTAGAGCCAGAGGTAGATTCTGAGGAAAAAGGAGTAGAATGTGAAAATGGGGGATGTGACTATCCAAGACGAAGCGAATTTAGATAGGCAATAACAACTCTGAAAAACAACAAGGCTCCTGGGGAGAATGGAATAGTATCGGAAATGTTAAAAGCAGGCGGTGGGAAATTGGAACTAGAGATAGGCAAACTCGTTAAGAAAATCTGGAAAAGTGAACAGATATCACAAGGTTGGAGTAGAGGATTAATATGCCCAATACACAAAAAAGGAGACACGCTAGATTGTGATAACTACAGAGGAATTACTTTATTGAATGTAGTTTATAAAACTTTTTCAAAAATATTAGCAAAGAGGTTAGCAGTATACATGGAAAATATAGTGGGAGATTATCAGTGCGGTTTTCGTAATAACAGATCAACTATAGATCAAATCTCCACAATAAGGTTAATTCTGGAGAAATGCTACGAGTATAATATTGAGATACACCAACATTTTATCGACTTTAAAAAAGCTTATGATAGTATTAGAAGAGAAAAGTTTGGGAGAGTCTCCAGGAATTGGGAATACCTCAAAAACTTATAAATGTAACAAAGTTAACTTTAGAGAAGACGGAAGGCAGAGTTAAGATCCAGGGACATGTCAAGAGCATTTGTAATAAAGAAAGGACTCAAACAGGGATATGCACTTTCTACAGTTTTATTTAACTTAGTATTAGAAGTGGTAATGAGAAAAGTGGCCTATATGAGGAAATGGATGTAGATGCAGGAGGAACGATTTTTAAGAAACATTTACAGTGCTTAGCATTTGAGGATGATATACTGTAGTTATATTAAGAAAATCTAAAGAGGTAATCGAAGAGGCATTTAAAATAATGGATAAAGTAGCGATAGATAAAGGTATAACAGTTAATGATGAAAAAACAAAATATATTAAGTTAATTAGAAAAGATTGTCAGGGGTCAAGAAGACAAATTCTACATATAAAAAAGACCATAAACTTGAACAGGAAAATAAATTTCAATACTTAGGAACTCAGCTAACAGAAAATAACGGAATTAATGAAGAAATTAAGGCAAGAGTGACAGCAGGAAATAGAAGCTATTATATTTTAAGACGAATTCTAACATCTAAAGAAATATCGAACTGAAATAAGATCAATATACATAAAACTATTATAAGACCAGTAATCATGTATGGCTCCAAGGCTTGGACACTGACAAGTAAACATGAAGAGCAGTTGAGACGATTTGAGAGGAAGATTTTGAAAAAATATATGGTCCAGTACAAGAGGGAGGAAAGTGGAGAATAAGAAGAAATAAGGAACTTGAAGATTTATATAAAAATTCTGATATTGTGACAGAAATCAAAAGAGGGAGATTTCGATGGATTGGGCATTTGGAAAAATGGACCCGGAGAGAAAGGTGTATCAAGTGTATAGAGAAAGACCAGAGGGGAGAAGGTTGAGAGAGAGACCACGAAAAAGATGGGATGAAGATGTGAAGGCTGATTTGAGAGGGATGAGTGTGAGCTGCTGCAGAAAGAAGGCTGAAGACTCAAGATAGAGAGAAATAGGTGAAAATCCTGGATGAGGCCAAAGTCCTTCAAGGACTGTGAGGGCCAGAGAGAAGTTGTAACATATTACAAAGAAGTTATGTTAACTAAAGTTCGATATTCCTGTGTTTTCCCATTTCTGGACATTCTAACCATCTATTAGCACAAAAATATAAAATACGTCGACAAATAAAATTACAAAATTCTATTTGTCGACGATGATAACTTTGTCTGAAAATTTAGACATATGTACGATGCACTGTACAATGCGTTACGTATCTGCGTCACTCCTCACACTTCGTTTCATATATAATTCATAAATGTATATGCAATAAAAAGCTGAATTTTAAAAGTACAGATGAGTTTTATTTATAGATACATAAAATTAGTACTTTAAAAACTTAGAGCCTGTTAGAAGTAACAATACATCCGAGTCTGTGCACCCATTAATGGAGAACCCACTATTTTCAGAATATCATAGACATATATTAATAAAAACAATAAAATAAATACAAACAGACTTCTTCGACATTTATTTTTAAAAATTTCGAATTTATTCATATATTTGATCTGTAATCTGAAAAAATTAAAGACTTATAAATTCTCACTGTCTTCTTTCTGTGTGTCAGTTCTTTCTTAATCTCGAGAACGGACGCAGATAAAAGACAAGACTAGGTAATATGAAGAGAGTAGGAACAGGAGACCCCTATTAACTGTGTACAAACTTTTGAAGAAGATCGAAACTCATATTATTTCAATTAAAATCTTTTCTCCTAAAAACAGTTAAAGACCGGCACAACTGCATTGTTATATGAAAAGTATAATGCACAGAGGCAAGCCACTACTAATTTGAGATAAAAAGCATATATTTTAAATTATATACATTAAAAATATGATTAAAATTGCAGCCCGCCATTGTGACGATGTCATAATAAATAATTGCTGGTTTCATTAAAATCTAAAACATCTAAATTGGACTTTTCTCTGTTGTAAGATTCTGATCAATTGAATTCAATTTTAAATCTCTGAACTAAATTAAATGTACTGTACATAATTGATAATACTAAATTCTATTTATTTCCTTATGCATTATACACGACGTATTCGCAACGTTTTTCAAATGTTATCATACCCATTTATATGAATATAAATGTATGTATTACGAATTATTCTTATCACTACAAAAAACTTTCATAGTATTAAAAGCATTAAGCCTTTTACCTCTTTCGATTTTATAACCAGAATGATTCCAAATAGTGGATGCGTTTGTGTTGTTAGTAGAAATTGGTTCTTTTTTAATATTTATCTGAAATAATAAAATATTACGTAATATTATTAGACAGATTCATCTTTATAGAAAAACACATGTATAATTATTTAAAATAGAGCATAAAAATACGCTTACTAAATATTTTTAAAAAAATATAGCCTAGTTTCTACTTTTCTTTTTATAGTAGTTCCTATCATCTATTTAACACGTTTCAGAGGAAAATTTTGAATTCCAAACGTGAATTCAGGTTTTCAGTAGATATACGTATACAGTTTATCGGTACCTCTTGCCCAATGAAATCAATCTGATACTATATGAATGTGTAAATTATAGTTTATTAAGAATCGGGGTGCAATTTCAAAAGACTTATAAATACCCACGATCCTTAGTCTGCACGACTGTTTGACAGTTTTTTCTTAATCTCGACAACAGAGTTAGATAGCTAAAAGCCGAAACCACATATGCTTAGAAACGCTATGTCGAAAATTCTTCTATACAAGAACTTCCGATGCAGATCAGAAGTGAAGTTATTACAATTCAGAAAGTGTCCTCTGAAAGAAGTTAGATACGTAAACGTCACAACTCTTATAAACAGGAAAAGTATAACGTACAAGAAAGCCATTACTAATTTCAGGTGAAAGGAATATTTTAAATTAAATAAAAGAATAATATAATGAAAAATTGCAGCCCGGCATTGTGAGGATGTCACAATAAATATATTCTCGTTGATTGTCTTTTCTTTTTTGCCCTTCTCTTACTTTCGTGTCATGTAATGCATGTAACAACCGAAAGTATAAAAATCCTGTGAAATTTGACCATCAGTTATTGGAAATCTAAGTTTTAAGACTTCCTCAACCCAAACAAATGTTTAAAAATACAAAAATTTTACTTATTATTACATATTAAAATTTTTAAAAATACAATTTATCTTTAATCTGAAAATTAAGCTTTTTGCCATTTTATAACAACTAATAATATGAAATGTTTTATGAATAAAATTTCCTAACAGATGGTGCCACACACAATTTTGTAGTTTTTTTGCCGGAAATGTTACGCAACTCGTTGCTTGATATTTTCTATGAGAGATAACTTCAGGTTTCTTATTTTGTGATAATCAATCTCTCGATCATCGTGAATCTCCAAAAGACTTGATCGAAAATGCAGATCTCTAGTCGAGTTCTACTACTGCTTAGGCATGACAGGACTTAAAAGTCCCGAATACATTTTAACCTCATACAGCCTAAATATCATTGATTTTACAAATATAATGCACTAAACTCCAACTACACATATATGAAATATAAATTTATAGATAAAAAGTAGATACTATCAAACTATTATTATGTAGAATTAATATCTCAGAATAAATTGAAGATTAAGAAACAAACTTTGGCAGGATATCTTGTGTATAAAGAGCGTTGATGCTAAATTTAGGAAAAGAAACGTCGAAAAATAAAGAGAAAAGGATAATCACGTGTAATATCTCGAGTGTGGATCAGACTTAATAAAGATTTTCTTTCTTGTTAGAGTCTACACTTGATTATAAAACTTATCTCTACCTTCAAAATTAAGCATTATGTCATTTTACAATAATAAAAGTATAGAAAGTGTTTATATAACGAAATCTTAAAATTTCGTTACATCTGTAATATTTATTTCAATTGATTAATAATATAAAAGTTATTTTTTAAATACAATTTCTTAAGAATCGGGAAACTTACGCATCTCTTCGTTAGAGTTTTTTTTATAATACATATTTTTATCTTTAATGCAAAATGCAAAAAACACATAAATTTAAAGCATAATTTTATATTACTGTCATTGAGCTACGTTTTCAACTGCTCACAAATCTAAATAAATATTAAAATTTCATTAAAAATGTGTAAAATATTTTGAAATTTGTATTACTTACTAATACGTTTTCATTATCATCTGGGAGATGAACAACTTCTTTACAATCTTCTCTCTTTACTTCAAATTTCAATTTTTTCAAAACAACTTTACATTCTGATTTTATACCATGTTTTATATCATAATTCTCTTTTACTTCTTCTTTCTTGATATCTGTAGTGGAATTTTCAAAATTTTCGTGTTAAAAATTNCCTCTTTACTTCAAATTTCAATTTTTTCAAAACAACTTTACATTCTGATTTTATACCATGTTTTATATCATAATTCTCTTTTACTTCTTCTTTCTTGATATCTGTAGTGGAATTTTCAAAATTTTCGTGTTAAAAATTAAAACATAAAACTTGAATTATAAAATAAAACTGAGTATATTTTGATTAATTAACATAAAACTATTTAATTATATGTTTTATTGCATCATTTATTACTGATTATAACCTGAAATCTAGCTATGGGTCACTGAGTATTGGTGCGATGTGTGATACAAATTATTATAAATATGTTTAGAAACGTCGCCGATGTATTCTTTGGTCGAATTGTTGACATTGGTCTACTAAAAGTGAAATTTTATGATATAAAGAATTTTTATTTCCAGAGGAATAAAGACTTTTTACCATTTCTTGGAGATGACTTCACTTGATTTCCACATGGCTGCAAACGTAAATTTCTAAGAAAGATTTCGTTTTGATATCCAGATTTGTGTTCTATCATGTGTTTTTTCAATAGAAANTACAATATATTGTAAATAATTATTGTAAATGTTTAGAAATGTCGCCGATGTATTCTTTGGTCGAATTGTTGACATTGGTCTACTAAAAGTAAAATTTTATGATATAAATTCCTACGAATTTGACAGTTCTTTTTCATTAATTATTGGATAGTTTGACAATATCTTCTCAGATTTGACAACAATCTCTAGATTGTTTAGCGTATATTAAATATCGTGTTAGTCGACGAGCGAGGCAATTATTATCATTTTGTTTTGGTTATTGTGCAGGTGTCCGCAGACACGTTCTACGTGCAGGTAAAAAATGGTGAGAAACGCCGCTTATTATTTCTGTTAAACGTCCGTTCTTGCCTTGTTGATTTTATCGTTGATCGAATTTATCGGTATAGACTGTGACATTTAACCCAAAAAGATAGTTTCGATCGTTGATTGTAGACTATCCGTTTTTTCTGTACAATTACTAGGGTTAGGAGGAGAACGATACTAATTTAAACAATACAAAAAAAAAGGCATAGTATCACACACCTTTCAATATAAATTTTCGAATGTCCTTTTAGCGTGGTTTGTCTTGAATGGCTTCCTACAAATATGATATAAATAGATATTTTCATGTTTAATAATACAGTATCTGGCTAAATAGTGTTTTGTTTTAAAATATTTGTTACACATATGACAATAATATTTGCATTTATTACTAAATATACGAATATGCTGTTTGAAACTAGAACTTGGTTTAAAACTTCTGTTACATACCTGAAAAACATAGTTACGTTCATCACTATGAGTTTCGCGATAATTTTTTAAAATTTTGTTTCCATTTATAACTCTTATTGCAAATATCGCATTTGAAACAACGGTCTTCATTATGCGCTCGTTCACGTTACAAAAACAGAGAGTTCAATTAAAATTCTTTTCCACATATATCGCAGGCATTAGCTCTGTATTCTCTTGTGTCTTTCTAAACTTCTCTTACCATATCGAACAAGCATACAACAAATATCTAATTTCCAGAGAAATAAAGACTTTTTACCATTTCTTGGAGATGACTTCAATTGATTTCCACATGGCTACAAACGTAAATTCCTAAGAAAGATTTCGTTTTAATATCCAGATTTGTGTTCTATCATGTGTTTTCTCAATAGAAATTGCCACAACAACTTTTTATAACAGGTTGAGCAGCGAAATGGTTTTTTCTTCTAATATGACAGATGTGTTTCCAATATTCTCTTATTTGTAAAAGTCTCTTTACATAAATCACACGTAAATTCTTGTTTAGAATGAGATGCTAACATATCCCTGAAGTGTATTCTTTTAATCTTATCATGAATTTTATTGCATTTTCTACTGAAAGGAACGTATTTCTTTGTTTTGATATTATATTTATAACGCTTTCGCTTTTACTTCGTTTCAATACATTTTCTTTACTATTCTAGCAGAACCATACACAAAACAAGATAATATAAATCATTAAATAACAACTCATGAGTTGTTATTTAGTAATTCTGATCATCCCAACATACTTTTATTAAATTCAAATTTATATTAATACGATGTAGGTAGTTTCTTATAATTCTCAAATATCAAATATAATCCCAGATCAATGTATGACAGTTGAAACTTGAATGCAGTTCTTCAGTTGCCCTTTTAATAATGCTAATATAAAAAGTTTGAATTAAGTAAACATGTTACTTACTTTTAACGTTCAATTCATTGTTGTTAAAATTTTCGTTTGGAGTGAAGTATTCTTTCTTGACAGGGTAAACAATATGCAAAAAATATATGACAACCACTACTAATTATTTATAATATATAAACCAGTATTGAGTTGCTCAACTTTCCCGGCAACGTTTTAAAATTTGCTGTCTTTAATAAAACGTTTTTTAAATAAAATGTGATACTTTAAACTATTATAGAAAGGCAAAGAACTGAAGTTTGAAAGTAGAGATGCGTTTTATATTAAAAAAAGTTAAATGCGAATAACGAGTAAAATCATTAAGTCTGACCCTACTGGAGATACACACGACCTCCATTATCTCTCACCCTCTTAGTTTTTAAGCAGTAAAATTTAATAGTTTCGATTCCCCTTTTTTTCCTTTCCCATTTTTCAGCGTTTCAAAATGTTCTAAGTTGTTCTAAGTTTAGAAATGTAAATGTCTTGGAAAGTTATTTTCTGATCAATCGTCATACTTTCCCTCTGTTATATATAACAGTCGGAAAAGAAATATAAAAGTTATTACACACATAAATTACAAATTCCTATTCTGTGATTTTATATAGAAGCTACATTTAGAAAATAGCATTTAAATTAATTATTCTGTTTTGAAAATTTTGTAGAAATTATTTAGTCTTTTGGAGAAATTAACAAAATAACAAACGAGACTCTTCACTTTCCATCTTGTGCATAGATAAAGATATTACTAATGAAGTACGCTGGTTTTGCTACAGATCTATGATATTTCTAAATTTATTTAGCGTAGTGAAATTCCAGAGGAAAGTTGTGGCTTATATAAATCCGAAAGCACCTTGAAAAATTATTTTTAGACATTTACAAACGTGATATGTTATTGATGACAGAAAATACTGTTAAAGAACAAACTTACTTCTACAGTATTGTAATCAGCTGTAATGAACACAAATACATAAATATTCTATACTCATTTTACATCACTTGCAAATAAGTGAATAATTAAATAATTTTTGGATTACATTCGTCAGTTTCTTTACAGTGTTATTCATAAATGCTTGAATAATCATTATTTTTAATAAAATACGTCATAAGTTTAACCCAAAACACAGAAAAAGCAAACCTTTAAGTATAATTTCTACTTGCCACTTTCCAAACGCCATTGTCAAACTTCTGAGATTACAAGATAGCGACGCTCGACGTTAACGTTTTAGCAATGAAAACTTCCGCCGCAACATCTGTATTAGTTTGTTGTAGTCAACTGCTACTTTACAACAAATTATGGTTATAATTCGCAGTGTTTATTAATTTATTGTAATCTGTGTTTATCTAATTAATGTCTGCATAGTACAGTGGGTGATCGGTTAATGAACAGTTCGGACTGCGATCGAATCGGATAACGAAAACTCGCGAAAGACTTTTATGTTCGGACAATGAACACATGTACGGATAACGAACTTTTCAGAAAACAAATAGAAAAAGAAGCGACATAAAATACTGAATACCGATTGGTCTTCCCTTATTTCCAGGTGACAATTCGAAACTTTTCGGACCGCTGAAGACATCGACATCGACGCCTGAACCCGGTACCGATCGGATAGAATTCCTCCGAATTTTGAAACTCTCCCTTGTAATTCCAGCTTTTCGTTTAACTTTCTGATAAATAATTTTTTTATAGTCTTTGCGAGACTGTCCAGCGTTAAAGTTTTGCGTCGGTTTTTATTTACGAAAGGCGAGAGTTTAACTGTCCCCTCAAATATTCCTCAACGTTTTAATACCAAATTTCGAATTAAATCTGAACCTTCAATTTAAATAATTTTATTGCTCTAGTTGATTTCTGTTCTCTGAATTTTAGTAAGTGCTTTTCTGAATTTTATATTTAAAAGAGAAATTGATAATATTATAAACCCTAAAATCAGTGGTGGAGTGTCAACAACTATGCTCACTGTAGAAACCAAGCGAAAGATAACAGTGAAGGAAGAGAGTGAACACGAGATGTCTGATGCTGCTAGACAGTATGGCTTGAACAGGTATACAGTAGGCACGATGTTAGCTATGAAAGATATATCAAGAAGTCTCAAGCAACTAAAGGAGTAATGAAAAATCACATCTGAGAAATAAAAAGGATTGAATAGCTCATAATGGAACCTTAAACTAATGTGACGACAGAAAATGTCCAAGAACTCTTAAATGAAGAACAGCAAGAAACTCAGCGAGATGTGATTTCTTTTGAAAAACAGGAAGACGAAAGACGACCAATGCCGAAATCTGCTATTAAAAATCTTTTGAAGGAGTGGGAGGATGTCAGAACAATGATCATCCAAATGGCATCCAAACCAAAATGAGGTTAATAGGCTAGGGGATCTCTACAATTGCAATGCTATTAATTACTTCCAAGAAATCCTAAAGAGAAAAAAAGCAATCGACATTAGACAGATCCTTTAACCCTCACAAACAGAAAAAACATGACTAATAAAAATGCAAGACAGTGTATGTATGTATTTTTATTATTACATTTAAATAAAGGTAGTAAGAAAATACATATTTTTTATATTTTGCGGTGTCCAGAACGAATTAATTTAATTCCCATAAACACCCATGGTAAATCTATAATCGGTTAACAAACAATTCGGATAGCGAACAAAGTCTTGGAACGGATTATGCTCGTTACACGATCATCCAGTGTATTAGAAAAATAAATAAATCTGTTATTTCGTACTATCGTCGTTTGAATCGATCTCAAAGTAAATTTTGTCAGGGTTTTCATAAATTTCGCCTGTATGTCGAGCCACTTTCCTCAACATGTGGCTACATCCATTCTGAACCTCACCAACCCATCGATGGGTCTGAAATAAGAACTCCTTTATTCTCTAATTTATCGTGCACGAAAAAGCAGAAATACACAAACGCCCAACTGAGAAAAGTTTGAAACACTATCACTTACATATATAAATTTAATGTTGAAATTCGGTTTTCAGTTTTAAGGATGCTACGAATGCATAACAAGATGAAGTATTCAAATCTGATGGATTTTCACTCTCTGATTTTTTGCAAATTTTCAGATTTTGAGATCTCCTACACCCAAAGAACATGGCAAAAAATTACGTAAATGTTTATTTGTCGGTGTGTATTTTGGCGTCTATTTTATTTAATATTTCACAATAAAGTGAAGATTAAAAAACAAAATTTAGTACTATACCTTGTGTTTAAGGAATATCACTGCTATTAAATTTCGGTAAAAAGACGTCGAGGGGTGAAGAAATAAAAAATGGTGACGGGTAAAATCTCCAGTCAGATCGGACTTAACGAAGATTTTATTTCTTGTTAGCATCTATAATTTTTCTCTAACTGCATTTACGAATAAATAACTAAACCTAAAATTTTCTTAACGTCTAGAACTTAGAAAAGTTTTAAAGTTACAAACGTTCCATAATAGGATTTATTCGGTATAAATCGAAAATTTTTACGATTCATTCCTGATAAAAGTCAATTAACTGACCGAAAATGATACATGCTATAATAAACTGCATTTTAATGGTTTGTAAGATTCTACAATTCTACATCTACAATTCTTTGCAAAATGAATTTCTACTATTAAAATTAAATATTTTTTCATTTTATAATTATTATTTCCATAATTATAGAGAGTTTTTATAACATAACGCCACAGACAATTTTATTTATTTATCATGATTAATAATATATATATTGATTTTTAAATAAAATCTCTTAACAGCCAGGAAAGCTGTGCAACTCGCTGTTACATTTTTTTCTTATAATAATACATATTTTTTATTTAATACAGAATACACCTAAATTCAAAGCATAACATTATATTAATGTACGTTTTCAACCATTCCGAAAGCTACGTTAATATTAAAATTTCACTGTAAAATATTTCGAAATTTGCATAACTTACCATTACCTGTTCATTATCAGCTAGAAGATGAATATCTTTACAATCTTCAGTTTTTACTTCAATTTTTAATTTTTTCAAATCACCTTTACATTCCGATTTTATACCGTGTTTTACATCACAATTCTCTTTTACTTCTTTCTTCATATCTGTAGTGAAAATTTACAAACTTTTGTCTTAAAGGATTCTCAGAAAAACTTGAAATATAAAATAAAACTAAACATATTTTCAATAGTTAACATAACAGTATTAAATTATATATTTCACTACATCACTTATTTGTGATTACAAGCCGAAAACGAGCTAATTGTGACTGCGTATTAGTGTGATGTGTGACACATATAATAAACATATTTTTATAATGTAAAACGCATTAAGTCTCTTACCTATTTCATTGTTATAACCGGAATTACTCCAACGATTAAAAGAGTTTGTGTTAGTTTTTGATTTTTCGTAAAAATTTATCTGAAACAACACAAAAATCATTATCACACTAGTTAAATTTTACAGAAAAATAAGAAAAAATACTTAAACCGAAACATTAAATTGCGTTTAATCGATAAATTCCTTTAAAATATTATCTTGAAATAATTTAAAGAGATCGTTCAATAAAACCCCTTCCCTTAAAAACTTTGATAACTTTAAAAATGATAGATACCATAAGTAAAAAAGAAACTTACTAGAAATTCTGAAACATAATAAAATGCATAAATTGTATAAAATTTAATGAAATAAACGGATGTCCACTAATCCACTCCTAACCTCTTCTCCAGTACCCCCCAATACTTCACGTCGGATCCTCTAATTTAAATTTGCCATGGTCCGATAGTTATAACGCGCCACGGCTTATTTCTTTTTTTTAAGCATTCCGAATCAACTGCAGTACCATTTATAATTATTGATAGCAATCCATGTATTTATATTTCACTGCTGTCAATCAACACCGTTAGGTTTATTAAAATTGATCTCTTTTTAATTTTGTATTATAAATATATTAGTTTATAATGGTTAAATTTTTAATAATATTAAAATTACAAATTTTCGAAAAAAGGTAAAACTAGAAAACAGTCGCGATTAATTTGCAACGTTTATAACTTGAAAATATATATTTTTCTTTCAAACAAAAACTGCAAGTCAAGTAGTGCAAAGTTACTGCCTTGATTACAAAAGTATCGTTTATCTTCCCTCTCTCAACTGTGGGTGGTTGACTTCGCCGAATGTAGGTCAGTTTACGTCAATGTACAGTACAGTACTATCTACTTCAAATAGTGTAGACGCTTTACTTATTATTCCAACAATAATTTCAACAATGACTATAATAAGCGATGTTATAAGCGATTATTTACTTATGTATCGCCTAAAGCCGGATGCACACATGCGGCGCGGCAAGGAAAAGCGGTGTAGCAAACGCATTTTCGCCGCGCGGCAGCACAGCTACACAAGTGGCAATTCGCTTACATTTCAGCGCATGCGTTCAGTATTCAAGATGGCGAACGATACCGACACTGCCCCTATCCACGTGTTTACAAATTTTGTTTTATATGGCTTGCTTTATTTAGCTAGAAGATTTTGTCGAAGATTCGAACGAAGACTTTGAATTAGAGATACTTTTTTAAATCGACAAAAACTTGTGTACAAAATACACTTACTCCTCGATTAAGATCTCTCGATAAATAATACTACTTCGAGTAAGATTCGGTTGTTTTGTTCTTTGAATTAAATTATATATGATAATTTGTGTAGAATTTTTTAAAAATTTGTTATCCTTTCCTCTTTATTTTGATTTTAGTTATCTGGGTTAACCGTTTCGAACTTTCCGTCATTAAAACACACTGCGATTGTATTTTCTCACGTGACTACCAGACGAACCTTTATTGGCTGATAGAAACGAGTCTTGGCGGCGGTCGCCGCAAAAGATAGAATTCAATCAACAAACCCAGGATTATATCACTAAACTTACTAGGCCTATATCTGTTATATTGAATCCTTTGTTTGACCTTGAGATGATCCAAACAACTACAATTTTAATCAATTCTTTGTAAGTTATTCTCCCATCTCATTCCTACAGTCTAAATCTAATACGAATTATCCGTTTTAATTGTTCCCATTGACTATTTAATTGTATTTTTCTGTTCTTCGTAACTACAATAAGTTCAAATCTATCTGACAAAAAATATAGCTTTTATATAATTGTGTACAATCAATAATACATTTAATATGATAATCCTTATACTTTTTTATGCTCTTATCTGGACAAGTATTTTATTCTATTAATGACAATATGTATTGTAATATATATACTGTATATAAATAATTAAACAATTTGTGTAAGATTTTGTAAAGTTAGTTTGACAAAAGCCAGATTTTTTTACTTAATCCATAGAAAACAAATATATGACCAAAATGACAAATTTTATAGAAAACTGCCAAAATAGCTTTTTCGTCCTGTCATCAAGAATGACGTGCCTATCTCGGTTCGACCATAAGTTATAAAGATATTCTTTCCTATTTCGTATTTTATATTTTAATATTTTAGTTGTTTTTCTCGTCCTTAAAGCAACATCAGAATCATAGAGATACCATACTCAAGTGCCGAATGAAACTGTTGAGACCTTTATACAGCTGTAGAGCACACTTATACCAGCAAAAATGTCAAAGGAACCGTACCTTTACATATGACCTTTCGCGAGATATTGGGTAGTCCACAAAAATTACTCTGTGAGAAATTTGCCTATGCTTTTTTTCTATCTCCAAAATGTCCACGGATGTGTTTTTTACCTCAGAGAACACTACTTTTTACTCACCTCTGTATTATTATCGTTTCCATATTCTAAAGGTTCTGCTTTAATTCTTGCACAAAACTTCTTATCTTCCGTTTTTAATTCTTTCTTGCAATTCTTTAATACAACAGCAAAATTTTCTTTACTTTTTTCAAAAGTAAAATCGAAATCTTTTGTATCTAACTCTTCTTTTATCTCCATTTTCTCAGTTTAAAATACTTTTGTACGTCAACACTGTATTTAATGAAATCAACATTTTAAAAGAGTCCAGTTGAAATTTATATTTGCATAAATAAATGAATAAAGTTCATATAATGCGAATCACTTACCTCTTGTAGTTGAATACAGTATTGTCAATATTAATTAATAAACTTTTTATTAAGTAAATTTAGAATTTAATACAAGTAAGAAACAAATCAAACGTAGTGTTGTTAGTGTTATAGCACTAAACAAACGAGTACAAGCTCGACGTTAACGTTGTCGAAAGAAAGGATTTCTCCAGTCCATGTGATAATTTGTTGCTATAAAACTCACGTGTTATAAGGTAAGCAATTATTGTTTTTAAAACCGGCTTGTGAATATTTACAGCAAGCGAAAATAGTTTTTCATTTCATACTTAAAATTTGAAAAATTTTCTGTAAGCCGCATCACAATTTAAATAAAAAGCAAAGAAATTTTCTCTTGTACGATGAAATTATGAAAATTGTTTTTAACGATAAAACCATGAGTAAGATAAATTCTTTATGAAGCTTTTACTAATTTTTCCAAGTATCCAAATAAAATTTTATTGAAAAAACAGTATTTTTAAAGAGATGTAAAATTAAAATAATAAAATGTGTTATAAATATCAAGTTACGGGCGATTCTACTTTTTAATCTGTTTTCCGAGTCCGAGCTTTATTTTTAGTTACTTTTATTTTTGCTTTTTATTCTATTTTTGTTTGGGGCTTATGTTCTGTTAGGACGAAAGTTTCCTCACCATTCACCTTAGAAACGTAAAAATAGAAGAGAAACCAACTCACGGACGAGAGAAAAGCGCTGTAGAAAAAACTCGCGCACACTTGAGCTCCCGAGCGGAAAAAGTAAGTCCGCACCGAGAAAAGGGGGGAGACCCCACAAGCACAACTTAAGAACTTGCTAAACCTTAAAAATAAAAACATCCCGAAAATTGTCAAAAAGAATAATGTAAAAGGTTAGCGAGTATTGTCGGAAAATAGGCTGCTAGACAAACAGAAAAAGTTTGTTAGCAAATAAGTATGTAAATGAGGGGAGTGGTCTCACTCGAAATTGTGACGTCACCTCACAGTATAAAGACCGAACCTCAAGTGAAGATTACCGAGGTGAGCTTCTGTTAGCAGCGAGCATGGTGAGCTTCGTAGGAGCAAAGGAAAGAAATGTTCGATAGGATAAAGTCGTTCCAAGGAGATTTTGAAGTTATTCGATTTTGTGAATCGAAGATTAGAGAAAGTCTTGAGAGTTGAGGAAAAGGGTTCCTAGTATATTGAGGTGACGATTAGGACCTTTAATTCATAAGAATAATTGTATTTAAGTTAAGTCTTTGAATTTTTGTCTAATTCCAAAGGGGAATAGAATGAAGTTAAAAAATAATTGATTTGAGTTTTGTCGGGTTGATTCTTATTGATTTACGTTGAATAAATTGTTATTTAATTTTTACTAAACTTTTTTGTATATAGTTATTACTAGAATTTCATTAAATATTGGATTGTTTTTGACTAACTTTGTCATTATTTAATTAGGTGTACGCTTAAAGTCCAGGCCTGGCACATTAACGCGAATCCACGTAAAGTACCCGTTAGGTAACGGCTATTTCCGACACAAAGTAGTGTCGATAATCGTTGTAAAAATAATATAGTACTTTACAAATGCCTCCTCTTCAATTCTTTCCGGATAATTGACAAAGTNTATATAATACATATTTTTTATTTAATACAGAATACACCTAAATTCAAAGCATAACATTATATTAATGTACGTTTTCAACCATTCCGAAAGCTACGTTAATATTAAAATTTCACTGTAAAATATTTCGAAATTTGCATAACTTACCATTACCTGTTCATTATCAGCTGGAAGATGAATATCTTTACAATCTTCAGTTTTTACTTCAATTTTTAATTTTTTCAAATCACCTTTACATTCCGATTTTATACCGTGTTTTACATCACAATTCTCTTTTACTTCTTTCTTCATATCTGTAGTGAAAATTTACAAACTTTTGTCTTAAAGGATTCTCAGAAAAACTTGAAATATAAAATAAAACTAAACATATTTTCAATAGTTAACATAACAGTATTAAATTATATATTTCACTACATCACTTATTTGTGATTACAAGCCGAAAACGAGCTAATTGTGACTGCGTATTAGTGTGATGTGTGACACATATAATAAACATATTTTTATAATGTAAAACGCATTAAGTCTCTTACCTATTTCATTGTTATAACCGGAATTACTCCAACGATTAAAAGAGTTTGTGTTAGTTTTTGATTTTTCGTAAAAATTTATCTGAAACAACACAAAAATCATTATCACACTAGTTAAATTTTACAGAAAAATAAGAAAAAATACTTAAACCGAAACATTAAATTGCGTTTAATCGATAAATTCCTTTAAAATATTATCTTGAAATAATTTAAAGAGATCGTTCAATAAAACCCCTTCCCTTAAAAACTTTGATAACTTTACANCCAACGATTAGAAGAGTTTGTGTTATTTCTTGAATTTTCGTAAGTATTTATCTGAAACAACACAAAAATCATTATCACACTAGTTAAATTTTACAGAAAAATAAGAAAAAATACTTAAACCGAAACATTAAATTGCGTTTAATCGATAAATTCCTTTAAAATATTATCTTGAAATAATTTAAAGAGATCGTTCAATAAAACCCCTTCCCTTAAAAACTTTGATAACTTTAAAAATGATAGATACCATAAGTAAAAAAGAAACTTACTAGAAATTCTGAAACATAATAAAATGCATAAATTGTATAAAATTTAATGAAATAAACGGATGTCCACTAATCCACTCCTAACCTCTTCTCCAGTACCCCCCAATACTTCACGTCGGATCCTCTAATTTAAATTTGCCATGGTCCGATAGTTATAACGCGCCACGGCTTATTTCTTTTTTTTAAGCATTCCGAATCAACTGCAGTACCATTTATAATTATTGATAGCAATCCATGTATTTATATTTCACTGCTGTCAATCAACACCGTTAGGTTTATTAAAATTGATCTCTTTTTAATTTTGTATTATAAATATATTAGTTTATAATGGTTAAATTTTTAATAATATTAAAATTACAAATTTTCGAAAAAAGGTAAAACTAGAAAACAGTCGCGATTAATTTGCAACGTTTATAACTTGAAAATATATATTTTTCTTTCAAACAAAAACTGCAAGTCAAGTAGTGCAAAGTTACTGCCTTGATTACAAAAGTATCGTTTATCTTCCCTCTCTCAACTGTGGGTGGTTGACTTCGCCGAATGTAGGTCAGTTTACGTCAATGTACAGTACAGTACTATCTACTTCAAATAGTGTAGACGCTTTACTTATTATTCCAACAATAATTTCAACAATGACTATAATAAGCGATGTTATAATTATAAGCTATTATTTACTTATGTATCGCCTAAAGCCAGATGCACACATGCGGCGCGGCAAGGAAAAGCGGTGTCGCAAATGCATTTTCGCCGCGGCAGCACAGCCACACAAGTGGCAATTCGCTTACATTTCAGCGCATGCGTTCAGTATTCAAGATGGCGAACGATACCGACACTGCCCCTATCCACGTGTTTACAAATTTTGTTTTATATGGCTTGCTTTATTTAGCTAGAAGATTTTGTCGAAGATTCGAATAAAGACTTTGAATTAGAGATACTTTTTTGGATCGACAAAAACTTGTGTACAAAATAGACTTATTCCTCGATTAAGATCTCTCGATAAATAATACTACTTCGAGTAAGATTCGGTTGTTTTGTTCTTTGAATTAAATTATATATGATAATTTGTGTAGAATTTTTTAAAAATTTGTTATCCTTTCCTCTTTATTTTGATTTTAGTTATCTGGGTTAACCGTTTCGAACTTTCCGTCATTAAAACACACTGCGATTGTATTTTCTCACGTGACTACCAGACGAACCTTTATTGGCTGATAGAAACGAGTCTTGGCGGCGGTCGCCGCAAAAGATAGAATTCAATCAACAAACCCAGGATTATATCACTAAACTTACTAGGCCTATATCTGTTATATTGAATCCTTTGTTTGACCTTGAGATGATCCAAACAACTACAATTTTAATCAATTCTTTGTAAGTTATTCTCCCATCTCATTCCTACAGTCTAAATCTAATACGAATTATCCGTTTTAATTGTTCCCATTGACTATTTAATTGTATTTTTCTGTTCTTCGTAACTACAATAAGTTCAAATCTATCTGACAAAAAATATAGCTTTTATATAATTGTGTACAATCAATAATACATTTAATATGATAATCCTTATACTTTTTTATGCTCTTATCTGGACAAGTATTTTATTCTATTAATGACAATATGTATTGTAATATATATACTGTATATAAATAATTAAACAATTTGTGTAAGATTTTGTAAAGTTAGTTTGACAAAAGCCAGATTTTTTTACTTAATCCATAGAAAACAAATATATGACCAAAATGACAAATTTTATAGAAAACTGCCAAAATAGCTTTTTCGTCCTGTCATCAAGAATGACGTGCCTATCTCGGTTCGACCATAAGTTATAAAGATATTCTTTCCTATTTCGTATTTTATATTTTAATATTTTAGTTGTTTTTCTCGTCCTTAAAGCAACATCAGAATCATAGAGATACCATACTCAAGTGCCGAATGAAACTGTTGAGACCTTTATACAGCTGTAGAGCACACTTATACCAGCAAAAATGTCAAAGGAACCGTACCTTTACATATGACCTTTCGCGAGATATTGGGTAGTCCACAAAAATTACTCTGTGAGAAATTTGCCTATGCTTTTTTTCTATCTCCAAAATGTCCACGGATGTGTTTTTTACCTCAGAGAACACTACTTTTTACTCACCTCTGTATTATTATCGTTTCCATATTCTAAAGGTTCTGCTTTAATTCTTGCACAAAACTTCTTATCTTCCGTTTTTAATTCTTTCTTGCAATTCTTTAATACAACAGCAAAATTTTCTTTACTTTTTTCAAAAGTAAAATCGAAATCTTTTGTATCTAACTCTTCTTTTATCTCCATTTTCTCAGTTTAAAATACTTTTGTACGTCAACACTGTATTTAATGAAATCAACATTTTAAAAGAGTCCAGTTGAAATTTATATTTGCATAAATAAATGAATAAAGTTCATATAATGCGAATCACTTACCTCTTGTAGTTGAATACAGTATTGTCAATATTAATTAATAAACTTTTTATTAAGTAAATTTAGAATTTAATACAAGTAAGAAACAAATCAAACGTAGTGTTGTTAGTGTTATAGCACTAAACAAACGAGTACAAGCTCGACGTTAACGTTGTCGAAAGAAAGGATTTCTCCAGTCCATGTGATAATTTGTTGCTATAAAACTCACGTGTTATAAGGTAAGCAATTATTGTTTTTAAAACCGGCTTGTGAATATTTATAGCAAGCGAAAATAGTTTTTCATTTTATACTTAAAATTTGTAAAATTTCTGTCATCCGTATCACAATTTAAATAAAAAGCAAAGAAATTTTCTCTTGTACGATGAAATTATGAAAATTGTTTTTAACGATAAAACCATGAGTAAGATAAATTCTTTATGAAGCTTTTACTAATTTTTCCAAGTATCCAAATAAAATTTTATTGAAAAAACAGTATTTTTAAAGAGATGTAAAATTAAAATAATAAAATGTGTTATAAATATCAAGTTACGGGCGATTCTACTTTTTAATCTGTTTTCCGAGTCCGAGCTTTATTTTTAGTTACTTTTATTTTTGCTTTTTATTCTATTTTTGTTTGGGGCTTATGTTCTGTTAGGACGAAAGTTTCCTCACCATTCACCTTAGAAACGTAAAAATAGAAGAGAAACCAACTCACGGACGAGAGAAAAGCGCTGTAGAAAAAACTCGCGCACACTTGAGCTCCCGAGCGGAAAAAGTAAGTCCGCACCGAGAAAAGGGGGGAGACCCCACAAGCACAACTTAAGAACTTGCTAAACCTTAAAAATAAAAACATCCCGAAAATTGTCAAAAAGAA